GGGCTTGTTCAGCCTCCTTGTAAAAGCAATACGGATAAGTGAGAACAAAATAAAAAATAGTGGTAAAAATAGAGGTGCACCGAAATGAAAATGTCAAAACCGAAATAAAAAAAGTCAGGCCGAAACCGAAAATGTTTTTTATTTTAACTTTTTTTCACAATGAACAGGAATCCTCTATTGATGTGACCAAATAGAGGTCACATCTTTTGCCCTGAGGAAGGGACCCTGCGTGGCCCCGAAACGTCGGCTGTTTGACTTGTGACACGTATGTCCAATAAAAAGGACTTATCTATTTGAAATCAATCTGAGTGCTGGTAACCTATTCTTTCTTCTTTATAGAATAGGTCGGTCTGTAGATAGGTATTGCATTTTTCTCAAAGGATAATAAGGTAATAAACATTTAAAGCCAAGTTCCAGAATTGATATTTAGTGCCCCCCTAAAAAAGATAGAGCCCTAAGTTGAGTTTTTAATGTATACCAACCATGACATCCGCACTGAATGTCTGCCATGTTACCTATAAGTCCTTCCCTCTTACTGTCAGCATGCTCTGCTTCTTCTGACTATAGATCTGATATATGAAAAACTGCACTGCGAGCCACAGTGTTCACATACTGGAACTGTCTTAAAAGAAACTGGTCATGAGAGGAGAAATATGAGGGCTGCCATTGCTGAGGACTTCCTAAAACTGCTAGTTCCCTAGATGTTTTGCTGACCCATTTGTTTTAGTCCTTTAAGTGATTTGCTGTGGAGCAACTGTGCAGATCAGGAAAGTCAGAAATCCTTTTCTCCACACTTGTTTTGGGTCAGTGTCTTAGAGCAGTGTTTCTCAACCCCTCCTTTGCATCAGAGTCCCCCCCTTGCATCAGAGTTCCCACTTATTCCCACTTCTTATGGCAAGTTTCCTTTAAGACAAATAAAAAGGGTAAGCAAAATGTACATAGCATCGATGATCACCTTGTGTAACCATCAACACAGGGACCAATATTATCAAAACAGTAGGAGGTATTTATCGCTGCCCCTTTCAAAGGAGTCGTTCTGAGGCGTCTTGTTACAATGGTATTTATAGGCCCCTGACCCGCATAGACAAAAGAAAAATACTTGGACGCAAACCATGGAAAAATAATTTGAGTGTTTGGTCAGCCTCGTAAAGACAAGTGACTCTATGTAGATAATTAAGTCTTAATGGAATGCCTCTTGAGTTTTACAGGTACACAGTTAGGCCAGTGCTGGAAATCCATCATTCTGTTATCACTCATTTGTTCCGTGTATTGCACTATTTTGAAACATGTCATCTACAAAATATTTGGCATGGCTGTTCCTATAAATAAAAGCTAATTAACAGAATGGAACATATCCTCTAATCTATTTGCATTCTACCAGTTTATAAATCTCCCTGTGCCTTACTTAACGAACGTTAGCTAACATGAAAAAACTACAAGAATCAAAATGTGGAGGGGTGAGATATAAAATGTAAACATAATTTGTCTCCATGTTCCCTTTCTGTTAATATTTGTGTTTATTGGAGCCATTGACCCAGTGTATCAGTTAGATGAGAAATACAACAAACAGGATCAGGCCTTTGTAACGGATGTTGCAGGTAGGTAGACCATGGGATTTCTCACTGCTGGAGATTGTCCTTTAAAGCAGGGCTGGACTAATCGTAGGAGTCAGGTAGCTGGCCCCTAAAAAAAAATCCTTCTGGCTCCTAGGTTGGACAGACTGGCTGCTCGGTTCAATATTCGTTTTCCACCCCTGCATTAAAGTGTATGTTAGGCTCTCAATGGGCTCATTCACACCTGAGCGTAGTCACATGTCTCGCAAAGCTTAAAAAAAATGCATCTGCTTTTTTGGGGGGCAGAATCAACTTTAACCACTTCCCGGCCAGCCGTTTTTTTACAAAAAAAAAAACGGCCGGCCGGGGAGTGGTCTAGATCTGAGCGGGCATCAATATTTTAAAACAGGCAATATACAAGCGATCCGCCGGCTATAGAGCGGCGGATCGCTTGTATGAGGTCCCGGAAGGTGCGCCCCCTCCGCGGCTCCCCCCTCCCGCTGTCACGCTGGTCCCGGGCTCCACTGTGCCCGATGCGAGCCTGGGAACAGCATACTGCCTCTGTCACAGGGGATCAGAGGGAGGTCGGTACACGACCTCCCTCCGGTCCCCTCTCCGCTGTCAGAATGCAGAACTGATGTATATTACATCACTTCCGCATTCTTGTGTCACTCTCCAGCTTCAGATGCTGGAGAGAAGCTGATGAAGCAGATCTCTGCTTCTTCAGAGGGGTCCCAGGTGACATCAGGGGTCTTGGAGACCCCTGATGTCTCCATAAAGAGGACCTGTCACATATTTTGCTATCACATAAGGGGGTTTTCTTAGCCCCCTATGTGATATCAATAAAGTTAAGTGGAAAAAAAAAATTTAAGTTTTCCCCCCCAAAAATGTAAAGTTACAAATAAAAAATAATATATTTTTTTAAAGTCCCCCCCCATACATACACGCATGCAAACAGGAGTCGGGTGCGCATACGTGCGAAAACGACGATTTCGGCCATTACGCCGCACGTTACATATCGTCGCGAACGTCGTAATGAGAGCAATAGTTCTAGGGCCATCAATCACTGATAACACTAAACGTATGAGCTATAAAAGCTTTTAAAGCGTCGGCTAAGATCAATTTTGGGTATGGTAGGTTTTTTTCGATTTCGCGGGTGGGCGCAATTTGAAAACATGACCTGTTTGGTGTCTATTTACCTGACGTGACCCCGTCTTTTAAATTTTACCAAAAATATGGGTAATAATCATTGTTTCCTAATATAACGGGGAACATTTTTTTCCCCAAATTTACAATAATTTTTCCTTAATATAGTAAAAAATAAAACCCAGTGGTGATTAAATACCACCAAAATAAAGCTCTATCTGTCCCCAAAAAATGTTATAAAATTCATTTCAGTACAGCGTTGCATGACGGAATAAACGTCAATGAAAGTACCGCAGCGCTGAATACTGAAAAATGGCCTGGCCAGGAAGGGGGTCTAAACACCTGGTCTTGAAGTGGTTAATGGGAGCACCTTAAAAACACAAATTAACATTAGTTTTTCAGGGACTCTTTAAAAGTCTGTGGGACCAAAAACACACGATTCTGCTCCTGTACTACAATTCACTCATAAAATATCTAAATTGCCTGGCTAGGCTCATGCTCTTAGGTGTAAATGGGGCCTAAAGACAAAACTTTTCTTGTAGGGAAGGGTTAAAATCCATATCTATGTATTTTTTGCAATCGGTGTCCCACGGGGGAGACTTGCTTCCTGTCCTGGAGATGCAACAGAAAATAAGGAAATTTCCATCTTAGAGAGTTATCACAGGAACAGGTGCCCCCATTGGTGTATATTACCGTATCTCTTCCTCTGATGGCAACTCAAAATATTTAGATTTCCCCCACCTGTCTTGGTGACAATGGTCAATGGGACAAATATAGGGGTGCTTGTACTCACCAGACACAGACTGTAAATTGCACTTGACAAGGACCTAAAGCTGGCCATACACATGGACTGAACGAGAGATAACCGCTCAACTTCCCCATCCACTTTATGGATGGAGGAATCCCCCTGCAGGCTTTTGTATTGAAATATTTGGCATCTTTCGCCAGACAGCTTTCTACCCAGCCCCTTCCACTTTATAATTGAAGGTTGTCCAGCCAGCCAGGACCACCTACGGGTAGAATTTCTGCTGGTCTACAGGAATGAGCCAAAATTCCTAACCTTGTATGGCTAGCTTAACTTTTCCCTACTTTATCCACAGGCCCGGATTTCCCACAAGGCCACCGAGGCCTGGCCTCGGGGCGGCAGATCGCAGAGGGGCGGCAGCGGTGACCTTGTGGGGAAATTGCGGGCGCCGGTGTAAGGTATCCGGCGGCCGCACACTACGGAATCCAAGCCTAAAAATTGCCTTTATGTACACTTTAATTGTGCTTTCCCATTAAAGTACTTTTATCTGACTAGGATCTGTATGGTTGGATGTTTATTTAAAAATGACATTGTGTAGTAGTTCAGCCCAGGGGGATAGGGTGGGGAGTTTAGATTTCCTTTAGTGTTATAAAATTGCCTTCCAGCCAAGGGACAATAACCTTTTTCACTTCTAACTTGCAGTTCCTTCTCTATTTCTACGAATATTTGTAATCCGACTCTCTAAATAATTGTTATGTAATTGTTAAGGACTGTGCTTGCATGATTGCTGTACATATATTGTGCTTATTGAGGCAAGTGGTTAGGTAAATATAGTCTTGAAATAACTTTTATGGGTAAAGAAAACAATCTTTCACACCAGGTCCCCTTTCTTCTATTTTGTCTTGTGTCAGACTGCGTACGTACTGTTCCTGTTAAAGTTTCCTACAGAATGAGCACTAATTTGGCATAGACTGATCATTGTGTGTGTATACTGGATGAGAACCAATACGTGTGTGTGCAGTCTTAAAGGAAATCATAAATTCTGAAATGTACCTTTTGGCAAATGAAGTCAAGGCCTTGGCTCTACTAGTGGGTAGTATGTTTGTTGTACAACAGCCAACATATAATAGAACAAATAATGGATTATAAGGCTGATTAGCATTTTTGTTCAGCTGGTCACCATAATATAGATAATATAATATAGATAATATAGATAATGTCTAAACATGTAGGTTATATATGTTGTACTACATGCTTTGTGCTGAAATAAAACAGATGTACACGTGAACAGTTGTGTGATGGATGCTCTACAGAAACTAAATGGACCTTTCTGGCCATCATACCTTTAATGTGCAACAACAGTTAAAATCTGGACACAGCAATGAAGGGTTGGAAGTCTGTCTATTATAGGCAAGCCACACGTACATTCTATCATAAGGCTATTGGGACAACTAGATGTAGAGTACTTAGGTTGGTCATTGTTTCATTATGGATTTTTTTTGCCATTGTAGTCCTTAAATTTGCTAAAATATTAATCCTAACATCTTGTTGTACAGGTTGGGAATAATTCCTCTCGACTAGCATTTACGGGAGCGCCTCTAAGTCAAGATGTCTCGAAGTGGGAGTCCCTGGTAAAAATCAAAGAAGGACTACTACGACAGAAGGATATTGTAATTGAAAGGTATGAACTGTTCTTTTATATTCCAACACAACCTCTAATATAACTCCCTTATGTAACAGAAAGAAGTGTCTGCAGCTCCCAGCCTAACTAGAAATATAACAGCACTTTGGAAGTGTTATAGAATGTAAAAGAAATGATTTTAACCCCTTCATGACTGAGGCCCTTTTTCTGAATGCCAAGACCCTATAGAATAAAATGGTGGTAGTTGAAAATTTTTATGTTGCGCAATATTAGCGCAACTCCTTATTAAACCCCAAAATTTAGTGACAAATTTAATTAAATGCCCCAAAACACAACAAATTACCCATTTTTTTAATGAAATATAAAAGATGAGGTTACAACGAGTAAAACGATACCCAACATGCCCAGTTTACAGATTGCGTGCGACCGTGAAACGGCGAAAAACTGCAGTACCCCAAAAAGTCAATAAAAGACACTTTAAAAGCCCCCACAGGTCATCAATTTAGAGATACCCCAAAATACTGGCCCTAGAATTATTGCTCTCACTCCGGCGTGCGCGGCGATACCCAACATGTGTAGCG